GAGAGAAGGGAGAAAAAAAGCAGGGAGTGAAGGTGAGTGGGAGAAAGAGGGAGGATGGAAAGGGGAGAGGAAGAATGGAAAGGGGAGAGGGAGGATGGAAAGGAGAGAGAAGGGGAAAAGGAAGAATCAACAGCTGTTTTCAAAAATAAAAATTTAAAAAAATGCAAAATTACAAATTAAAAGAAAAAAAAAAGAAAAATTAATGATTTGAAATATAATCAGTTAATTTGCTCAAAAATACAAATTAATTTTTACACATGTTTTTATACGTTTTTGCATACGTATTTATTCAGCCTTTCTTTCAAGTTCCGTGTCAAACAGAAAATTATTTTAAATAATAACAATACACTGTTTGAAAAGCTCTAATTACAAGATTTATAAATACTATAAAGAATTAAATTATGTTATTACCTAAATGCAAGATTATCGGGAGGCACATCAAATTTAGACTCATAGTACCGATCCTTAAAACCGTCTTCCCAAAGTCGCACCTCATCATGTGACTGCTCATCATCCGATTCATTGTCTGCTGTGACTTCTTCAATTTTACGTTTTTGTCCTCTATTACCTGCATTCTGTATAATAACAAGACAAACAGTATAATAACAAGTAAATAATTACAGTTCTGTTATACGGTAAATATGGATTAATGTTGATAGTTATTTAGAATTATTTTGTCAGGTTCAGGACGGTCTTGACCTCGACATATGTTATCGATGTATAATCTCTCTAATGTCTTATAATGTCTTATAATGTCTCTAATGGTATAAAAGTGTTCTTTTAAAACAAAAATTAATGTTTAAGAATTTATGAGAACACTGATTAAAGTAAATATCTCAGTAATCACTAATGTTTTTCGAATACTTTGTATTAACTAAAACATTTAAGATTTCATCATTATTAAAGATATAGTATTTTCTATCAAAATAATATTTTTCTGATCAGTTTATATGCATAATAAAGATTACAGTTTATTTAACAGAAATAAAACTAAAATTATGATTGTTTTAATAATTAAAACAATTTTAATTGATGATTTAATTAAATATTTGCAAAAGATGTGGAATATGCATATGTACTAATATCAGGATATAATATAGAATACGTACATATACTTTTTAGGAAAAAAAAGAATAGAGTAAAGAAAATTCAGAAATTTCTTCATAAAACTGATCAAAAATGATTCTTTTCAGCGCAATTTAAACTTTACTTGCTCTTAATAAAATGGTTAAAGATCAATCTAAATTTTCCTATATAACTTTATTATACAATGTTCGTAAACATGTACGAAAAAATTTGGTTGGTGATTCCTTAGGTAATTTCTTGAAGAAAAATTCATACTAATGTTCTAAACGGCATAGTTTTAGCTCAGTGATCGGAATGAGTCGCACATTTTAAGCAATTTTTAATGCCTCCTTTCTTTTCTTACCGTTGCGGTCAACGCGAAACAATTCATAATACTCTTGGTATTCTTAAACGTATTCGCCAATCAATTAGGAGAACAAATTCGTGTATCATGGTTGGAAGTGGTCATTTCCAATAATTCCTATAATTTTGTTTAATTTTGTTTTTGTCAAAATATACTTTGTAAAATCTCATTTTTTAATCTTGAACACTCTGTAACTCGACAACTATGCTATTTAGGACATTGTTGTATGTAAACTTTTCTTCAAAAATTTACCCAAAGAATCACCACCCGATTTTTTTCGCACACATTTAAGAACACTCTGTATAATTTATACTAGTTTACTGTATTTTAGTTATAATACAAGGTGTCTCAGAATGATCGTGCCAACACTCATAAACAGATAGAGAGTAAACTGAATAGAAAAGTCTTTTACCGTTTTGCAATAATCACAATAATTATTGAGGTAGTAATTAAAAGAAATGACGGCAAATGAGCACGCGATTCGCACGGCAAGACTGTGATGTATATTTTAGACGTGCTAGCCGCTAGTGAAATCTGCACTCATTTGCTAAATTTTAAAAATTATTACAACAATTATTGCAAAAATTACAAAACGATAAAGGACTTTCTTGTTCAGTTTATTGCGCTCTACTCACTCACGAGAGGTTTCGTAATCTCTTTCAGATATCCTGTATACAAAGTATTCGAAAAGTCCCGAAACGGTCTAATATTTCAAAGAAAAAGCATTTTACAAAAAAAATGTTGTAAACAAAAGTTGTAGTATTAAAAAAATCTATTTAATGACCTTAACAGTTTGACCTTAGGTGGCGTTGTCAAGATCATATCAAGATAACCTTAAATTTTTTAAATTAAATTTTTTATTGCATATGTAGCTTTTATTGTATCTTGTAGCTCTTTTCCAGATATTTTTAAAATACTACTTATTACTCTTTTTCGATAAATAATGAAAGTTATAACTGATACAAACCGATATAAACGATACATATTGGAATGGTCGATAGAAGCTATACTTTTGATGATAATTATACCATCAAAATAAAATTTATAACAAAGAAAAACATAAATAACCTGCTGCCTTCTTCGTTATCTTGCATCCTTAGAGCCACGACGCATTCTAATATATCATATGTTTGATGTAGTTGTTCAAACAGTTCAAATTTTAAAAAATTAGTATTGAGTTATTCGAGATTATTCGGACATTTTGAATAGTTCGAAAAGTTTGACTTAAATAATAATTGATACGTAATGCTAATTCGTTATGCCTGAAGATTTGAACAATTCGAAGAGTGAAAATGATTCGAACAAACGTAATATGTATGTATTACATGCACATTTCTCAATTATTTAAGTTCTATAACAATTTATAACAATCTATAACAATTTTTTAATTTCTACATCTGAAGTTAATTCCAACAATTCGAACTGTTTGGACATATCTTCACCTTGAAAAATTCAAACTTTTGCCGTTTAATCTTGAGATTTGATACTGTCCGAACTAATCGATTACTTAAAGTGTACAAACACTAATTTTGAACTCTCAGATTCGTAATCAACGATATCAAAACCCAATAATTGCTAATACTTGATTCCAAAAATCGGAAAAAATGTTATCCATATAAAGGCCGCGAAATATTACATCTCCGTATTTTTATTTGGCATGTTATAATTAAATAGGTATATGCATTGTTTTTTAGAATTAATCTTTATGATTTCGAAAAAAACGCTGCGGCCCTCTAAGGATTATAAACCAGCTTTGGAATGTTTAATTTAATAAAATATAATAACCAATATCATAAAGATTAAATTTAATACCTCAGGTCTTAACATGCTTTCCAAGGCATTCGTATTTTCAGCAGCGTTCGTATTGTAATTCCTACCCTGCACACGCATTTGATAAGCTTCATAGCGAGCATTTTGTACAGGTTTTACTGCTTGTCCAAGAGCCTGCCAAAAATGTTTTCAAATTAAGTGTTAGTAATGCATATACATTGAGAAAAAAATTGTGACATGACTAGTTGATAATAATTTTCTTATTCAAATATTGCATTTAAGTCAAATATGTGATAGTAGTATTAACAAATTCGTTTCATTTAAAACAGCAACACAATAAAATCAATTTAAAGAAAAATAATATTTTAAGATAAAAGCAGTATTATTTCAGTGGTTTGATTCAATAAAATCGGAATCTTACAGTAGGTGCAAATTGTCCTGCGGTAATCCATTTCGGCTTAAAGTTACTGATGATTTCATGTCGCCTCTTTTTATCTTTTTCACGTTGCTTGAATGCCAATTCATTTTGTTGCCTTTTCTTGAAAATCTCATCCTCCATATCACCAAGGTCTGACATTATTAATTGAACGCGGTCCAGATTAACATCGCCACTATCGGTCAAAAAACCCTATAAAGAATTCATCAATTTTTAAGGCATAAGTCAAACTACATCTTGAATAGATTTTTAATTACATATAACATTTAAATTACGTCATGATAATTCAAAATATTTCACATTTATTGCACTCAACCCGTAAAACATTGATTGGTTAGTTTTAATTTAGATTAGTTTTAATTATAAAACTAGTTAAGTATAAATGATTTATTTACTAATTATTAGGTTATTTCATAAGTTTTGTCGTTGTTTTTTTTTAAGAAAAGTTTGACATGAAATTACAGAAAAGCATTATGAGTTCAATCATCAAAGTATTTTCCCTCGTTTTCTATCATCCCTCCCCATTTAGAAGCTAACTTTTCTATCCCTAACTTATAAAAACTCTATGATTTAGAATTAAAATAGTCTTTGATGCCATTTTTATCATCAAAATTTCCCTCCCGGGACCTCGAAAACTATCTTTGGCATGTAGGGCTTACATCTAGGGCTTGCGGATAAACCAAATTAATGTTTTTAGTTGCCACTGTTGCTTTATTTTTTTTACGAAATTCATAAAGCATACAATGTCGCAAATATTCTTGATTTGGACTTTCGGTTGCCATTCTTTAACCACTCTGTCAATCTTCTTGAAATTTGCACCAATTAAAGATTAAATACTAATACACAACTAAAAAAACAACGTGGTTTTGACAGGTAGTGAACTTTACTGAAAATCAATAATGAAAAACCGACATAACTTATGAAACGACCTAATATGTTCTTAATTAAATAAAAAGATTGTGATTGCAAAAAGAAACTTTTACTTTTTATTCAGTCTCGAGAAAATTTCCCAAATTTAAAACTCTCTTAATTTGAATAATATTATTAAACATTGCAAAAAAAGAAATTGTCGATAAAAAAATTAAAATACTGAAGAAAAATAAAATATTTGTGTGAAGATTCTGCATAATAAAATCCTTTAAAAAAAAACATAATACATAATTAAAAACATACAAATAATTAATTTTTCTCACTTATTTCACTTTTCTCACTATTCTTAAATAAAAAATATTTACGTACTCCAGTTTTATACACTGCTTTTTTGTACAGAGCAACAAGCCTGTCAATTGCGCCTTCTCTAATTTCCAGAGAAGGAAGATGAGGTAAGAAATCATTTCCTACGAAGAAACACATAAATACCCAATCATCGACAGCTCGTTCAAAATCGTATTTGAATGGTAGATTCGGCATATATAATTCTCTTTCTAAATATTCTCTGAGAACACTTAATCGCACGAATATGTACTGGCATTCGGATCCATATGCGTTTTCCTCTTGTTGCTGGTTCGGTTCTGCGCCCGTACATTCTCGCATTTCATGCCCTAACTGACCGCATATGTCACACGGCTTAGGTTTATTCGGCTTAAACTCCTCGCGAATAATAGTAAAGTTAGGCTCGTGTGTGGCGAGGCCCAACATAATTAAATCGGCATCCGCTCCGCATAAAACATGCTGTGTATTCGGATCGTGATCAGGTTGCGCTGTAATAAACAAAAGATTTTATGTTATATTTTTAATATACATACATAACATAAAATGAAATTATATAAATGTAGAAATTTACATCTTTGTCGCCGAATAAAATCCATTATTTTATGCTCTCCTTCACCGGGAACATTTGCATCGCTTAATATTACTTTAATATTTTTCCAACCTGGATCATTATTCAAACGTTCATGAATATAGTAATGTAAGCATGTTGATAATCTTGCCATAAATGGGGTACCCTGAAATACAAAGTAAAATAATTTTAAAAATCTTATTTTATTTATACAAAATGTATAAAGTATCATACTTTGAATGAAGATCTAAAATATCTTAAAATTAGATAGATACAGAAAAATGTTTCAAATAAAAATTGTAAAACTTGAAGAGAGAGAAAAAAAAGAGTAATATTGATTTAACCTTAGATTGATTCGTGAAAATTACATAAAGTCAACTTGAACTTTTTAATTTAATATAAAACTTACGAATTTTATTAAAGATTTTTGTAACTAATGTCATTCAAAATAATATAAATTAAATCCTTTTTTCTTCAAAACTTCTTGATGTATTTAGCATTTTATGATAGAATTATTTGACACATACATGAAATATCTCATAAATAATTAAATATTATAAATAATATCTTGTAAAATATTCAATTTTTGATTATCTTATTTTAATATTTTTATACATAAAATGATGAGAAATTGATTAATGTAAGAAAAACAAAAAATTATGTATTTGATAGAATTTTCATTTTTTTCTGTTATTGCAAATTGTTACAAACCGGTGTGATACAATTGCTATCAAAATGTGCTTCCTTCGGTTTCTCAGGAGGCAAAAAAGCTCCTTTGAGAGCCAATTCGGAACGTATCCTTTGTATCTCATTAATTTTTTCTGTTGTTTCTTTTGATGCTCGAAATCGTCGGGATCTTTGCTGATTCATTTTAGCTCTGGGCGCCTAGATAATGCAATGCACATAACAGTTAATTTTACATATATTCATTTCTTTTTCTGTATCTTTCATACAAAAACAGTTATGAAAAATAATAAAACTAATACAATGTTTATTAATAACATTCAAGTAATTCAGTTATATTATCTTTGTTTATAAGTCAAATATCAAGTTCAAAGTGAGATACATCAATATATATCATAAATATATGATACTGATAAAGCTCAAAATAATACAATTTAATTATTACAAATCAATATAATTAATGTGGCAATACATTAAGCAGCAATGTAATCTCATTAGTATTGATATTATTAATAATATAATCAACTACTTCATTTTCAATACTTTTCCAATACTCATTGAAACTTATTTGAATTATTTAAACATTATCGATATATTAATTCAGCCTTATCATTAAGCAAAAAATGGTAACAGTAGTATTCACACAAATATTTATATAGACAGTATTCGTACACTAAACTGTACGAAATTGCTACTTTTCAATAAATACAATTTGAATATCAATGTCATTTAACATCTGTAGATTTATTGTTTGATTAAAAGAATGATATTTTATTTCTAGATATTGATATTATTTGGAAAGTGTTATTGTTAATAACTACTTACAACTCCATCGATTGCCATATAAAGCAATTTTCTTGGCCTGACAATACGAAATAATCTATCGATACACTCAAAAATAGCTTCCATCATTTCATCTTCATCTTTGGGTGCCGGTCTATATATTTTATACAAGTAGATACATATAAACAACTTATATAAATCACTTTTATTAAAATGTTAGTCATACTTACTTATCTTCAGGGTGTGTGCAAGGATGTATTATACCATTCATATCAAGGTACAAATTATCAAATTCCACCCCATTTGGATTTGGCTCTGCAGAGTTTATAGGAATACACACTCCATCTACGCTTACTTGCTGAAAATATAAAGTGCCAAAATTTTGTTATGGATATATATAAAAACAAGCTGAGTCAATGACTGAAATAAGCGAATTTAATCCGGTTTGAGTCGTCAAATTTCAACAGTACGTTCAAAAGAAACATGTTTGCAAATATAAACATATTTGATTTGCAAATGTTTATATTATGCATGTTTTGCATACATTTATATTAAAAATTTGCAAAACTGTTTAAGACATCCATAAAGATTTGATCTTAAGACAAGTATCACTCTTCTTCCAAATTTAAAAGAATTGTTAGAAAGAATTGCCATAGCAATGTATATCCAAATGTAAACTGATAACATTATTCTATAAAAGTTTGATGTTTAGAAAACAAATTTCTGTCGTCTTACATTGAATCCAAATCTAGCCTCAAAAAGTGCGTATGACAGTTAGAATCTTTATAAAATCAAAGAAAAAATTAACCCAAAAATGTTTTCATATTTACAATGTTTACAATATTTACATGTTATTTTGAAATAAATTGTTTATTTTAATTGTGTTTATGCTATCATTATGCCAATTAATTTATAATTTTAAAAACAATATCTTAATATATTTTTATATAAACAGATCTTTTACTTTGTTATTTCATGCTTTTCCTATATAAATATATTGTCTGACTATATTTATCATAAATTTACTAACAATAAGACGAATCATATAGCTATATAAATGGCATTAATTTTATGTACTCTAAAATGTATCACATGAAGGTGTTCTACTTACATCCTATTTCTCCTTTTTTATTTAATTCAAAATCCTTCATCTTTATAATAATTTTTAATCTTTAAAATAAAATAAACAAAAAATTTTATAAAATTTCCCAAAAATTCTATATTATTAAGATATTTATAAATATATAATCATATATAGATCCACATATTTTAAAATAAGACAGAGTCATTTAATTGTGCTAATCAATAATTCTATTATAATATATCATAATATTGCTATTATACTAATATATCATAGTAACAACAATAAATTTAGTCAATTTTAATAATAAATTTATAGACATATTGCTCAGAATTATGTATATTTACAGAAATAATTATGCAATAAAATGGTACTACAACTTTTGATTTTGTGAATATTAAATTTTACAAAAAAAATTTCTATAATTATTTTAAGAAATTCTTAATGTAAATTAGCTATAAAGTTTTTATATATTAAAATTTTCTCTGTGCATATTTGTATATCACAATAGAAAAATCTACACAAACTATACAATAATACACTAAAAAGTATTGGTTTTCCGAAAATATAATATAAATGCGATTAATTTTAATCTAAATATGTAAAAAAATTTATTAAATAATCTAACCTACCTTTTGTTCAATGCACTCGACAATAACAGAAGGATATTTTCGGCTTAACCAACGAAAAAACGCTGGTACACCCATTTTTTCTTCAGAATTTATTTAAGATAAACTTAAAATTTCTGAATCAATCACACACACACAAATCTATCAATACAAATAAAATATACACTTCTTTTAATGTAAGATGTTTAACCTAAATCGATGAGTCAAACGCAGAGTACAAGCACGGTATATACAATTGTACAGTAGAGCAACTCTTACATTTTTCTATGGAGTGCGTGGCAAAGCAGTGAGCTATATAAGGTGCGTTCCGAAATGTGCCGACCACTGAAATCAGTGTCGCCAGCAGTGAACTCTATACATACTAGGGCTGCGTTCCGTAAAGAGCATATGCGCGCATG